GCTCTTCCTCAGGCTCCTCGCTGCTCCAATCCCCAGTGCCTTCCGTAGGGCCCTGGTGCGGCCCTAATTCCTCAGTCTGATTGGGGAAGATACGCTCGGGGCCCATGGTGTCTCTCCCTAGAACTACTGCTGCCATCCGGGCAGGGGCTGCAAGAACAGGGAGGGCGGGAGGGTAGGGATCGGATGAAATCAGGTCCACCTATAGCCACTCATCCAGTTCCTTGTGGTCTCTTGCGTCCGCAAACCATTTAACCGCTTCCAAGCTTCCTGCATCCCACCCTCTCCTGGGCACTCCACCATTTAAACCGACTCGTATCTTGAACCGAGGCCCACCGAACTTGCTCTGCCAATTCTTAAATAACAGCCCAACCCGAGACCATACCACTTCCCAAAAGACACTCCGTCCAGAACCCCGCCCGCCCCTACTCCCCTACTTGGGAACTCCGGATCGCCAAACGAGCTCCCCTAGACAGGGCGTACCCGCCCCCTTCTTCCCTCTCCAAAGGGTTCCCCTCTGTACCGCCTGACAAATGCCCTTCAGGCCCCAGGGGCTCCCCTCAAATGGCCCCAGCAGCGGCGTCCGCCACCCGCCCCCACCGATTCTCGGCGCCGGTGTTTCCGCGCGCCTCACCCGCTCAGAGCCCGCGGCTGAACCCGCACCTCCACTTCCGGCGGAGCAGGACGTACCGGGGCGCCTGGTCCTCCAGCCCCTCCCCGTGCTCATGATTGACGCGAACGAGAGACAAGCCGTACGCCTCTTGCCCCGCCTCCGCCATCTCCTGCTCCGACAACAAAGGACTACATTACCCAGTGATGCCCAGGGTTTTTTGGGGTTTTTTTTTGTTTTTTTTTTTTTTTTGACACATATATGCACAGGCGCACAACCTCCCTCGGCTCCTGGCCACTCCTCAGCCCCTCACGTCCCTCTGGAAACCCGTGGACTACAAGTCCCGGTAGGCTTCGGGCACTTAGCTCTGACTGCACGTGCGCACACGGCTGCCCGCCGGAAGGACCGAGTCTGGCTGTGTTTATCTCGTTGGGGAGCTAGCCGTCGGTTGGCGCGCAACGGGTTCTAGACTGCAGGCAGCGCGAGGATCCGCGGCCCCGCCCCGGCCCGGCCTGGCAGGTAGCCCGGGATGGGTTGAAGAACAAGGAAAATTGGAGGGGCTGGGGTCGCCCATACCTGGAGCTGGCGTCGTGGGGGAGGGGCCTGAGAGTGATGAGGTGGGGGTGGGGAGGGAACTAGGGGGATGATGGGAAAGGAGAGTGTTAATGGGGAAAGAAGGACTGGGGGAGGATGGTGAGGAAATGAGTGGGGGGGACCTGGTGGCTGGCAGAGGCACTGAAGGGAATTGGAAGGAAGACGGGCTATGAGGAGAACGGGGAAGCTGAGGATAATGTAAAAAAAGGAGGGGAGGGTCTGGCATTGTGGGGGAGGGGAGTGTTGGGATGACTGGAAGAAGACAGGGATAGCGTCATAGGCAGGGAGGAATATCCCTGGCCGAAAGGGGTCAGTGAATATTCGCCTTTTTCCCCTTAGTGGAAGAGGGAAAATGGAGGGCTGTCGGGGTGGAGCTTGGTGCGGTGGGAGAAGGAAAAAGGAGAAAACTGCAAAGCTCACAGATCAAGAAGGGCCAGAAATGGGGAGTGGACATTGCAAGAGACCAGGGAGGGGGATAGGTACATGAAGGGTATGCAGGAAGCTTGAGAATGCAGCAATGATCCAGGAGACCCAGAGACAAATGGGGCCCCTGAGACAGTAGGGGCTTATCTCCATGAGTTTGAGTTGTCATTGTGAAGCAGCTAAGAATCTGTCCACTTTTGGATGGAATTGCTTCTCTCTTCCCCTGTGAATTTTTTACCTTGACATAGCTGAAGGGGGGAGTAGAAGTTATGAGGGAAGACAAAAGACTCACATTCTTAAACTGTTCAACCTCCTATCTGTCCCCACAAGTCCAGATCCAAGATCTTTTGGATTGAGAACAGGAGTAATGAAGTGAGAGTGGTTTCCTGCCGGGGCTATTTCAGGTTTGGCAGGCTGGCTATTTAAAGCATGGGATGGGGGGTTGAGGGAGGTTGAAGGGGGAGGGGGGCTGGCAAGCCAGCTGAAAACCGTGTCTCTTTCTTATGAGGGGCCTCCCTTACTTGCTTTCTCTATGCCTGAGGTTCTGCCAGGTTCTTCGCTCTGCCAGGGCTTCTTGAGCAGGGAGCAGATGATCCACTCAAACCCAGCAGGTGCCTGCCAACGAAGGCAATACCCATTGGAGGAACATTTGTCTGACAGAGCCTTCAAATGTACCCATTATCACTAGGTTGGCAGGTCATGCTTGAGTCTATTTCTTATCCTGCCCAAGGGCTCCCCCACACCCCGCCCCTTCCTCTCTCTTTTCTAACACACACCCCTACCCCATTCCCCTTTCAGGGATCTAAGTGGGAGAAGAGCTGCTGAAACAGCTTGTTCTTTATTACAATAGCGGGGTTGGAGAAGTAGCAGGAGGGGAAAATTCCTCCTCTCCACCCCCACCCCCTCAGTCCCCAGCAGACACATACCTTTCTGGCTTAAGTTCCTAGTCTTGGCAGTATACCAGGCACAGCTGTTAAAGGAACTCCTCGTGCCTGTGAGGGGCCCTGGATGACCCTGATGACAACAGCTTAGCTTGACGAGAGCTCCCCTTGAGGGGCTTACCATCCGTGGAGCCCCCTGTCCTGGATCATTCCTACCCTATCCACTCTGCCCTGGATGGGGGGACTGTTTCACTCCAAAAGCCAAAAGCTTTTCTCCTTTGAAGCACCCATGCCAGCTTTCAATGGACCGATTGGGGTTGGCTGCACTATTAATAGCCCTGAGTATTTTGAGATCCCTTTCCCCACCTTAAAGAGCACAGATTCTTAGAGAGGTGGCAGTAAGCGGAGCAGAGCCAGAGAGACAAGAGAATGCACTGCCCTGGGAAGGGCAGACGGTGCTTGCAGCTTGTGCCAGGCCAGCGACACGGTGAAGCCTCCATGAGTAAGGGATGACCATGCTGAACCTTTGATCAGCAAATTCTGAGCTGTCAATCAGGTCAGAGCCGCCCCGCCCTTCACTGTGGGAGAACACAGGACCAGGGCTAGCTCCCTGACCTCTACCTGAGCTTTGGAAAGGTGGTGTGGGAGGGCCACCAGGGTGACGCTTGGAGGCAAGGGCTGGTCCTGGGCAGAGTCCTGGTGAGCCAGATAAAGACCTTGCCTGAGGAGCCCATGGCCATAACTTGTGTGCAGGTAGCAGAGGCAGCAGGCCGTGCCGGGGGGGCATGTTGCTGTAACCAGTGACCCAGGGGATGTTACGGTGGACAGTGCACCTGGAGGGCGGGCCCCGCAGGGTGAACCATGCTGCAGTGGCTGTTGGGCACCGGGTATACTCCTTCGGGGGTTACTGCTCTGGTGAAGACTATGAAACACTGCGGCAGATTGATGTGCACATTTTCAACGCAGGTAAGCTAATGCTGGGACCATCCCTGGGTACCCATGTCAGGGAGGGGAACGGGCAGCTGAATGAGGTTTGGTGGCAGTCCCCATGGCCAAAGGGGATGGGGGAATGAATGTCTGGTTTGGGAAAAGGTGAACAGCCTGGAAGGAGGTTTCCAGGGCTGAGCAGAACTGTGCCCACAGTGTCCTTGCGTTGGACAAAGCTGCCCCCAGTGAGGCCTGCCATCCGTGGGCAGGCTCCTGTGGTACCCTACATGCGGTATGGACACTCGACCGTCCTCATCGATGACATGGTCTTCCTTTGGGGCGGGCGGAATGACACCGAAGGAGCCTGCAATGTACTTTATGCCTTTGACGTCAGTGAGTATGGATCTCAGAGAGGCTCTGTTCTGCCAAATGATGCCTCCGGGGAATGGGCTGGGAAAGGTGTGGGCTGAGGGCATTCTAGAGTCTAGGAGGGAGTGGTGTCAGAGGTTGCTTACTGACCCAGCCTCTCCTCTCTTTCAGATACTCACAAGTGGTCCACACCGCGAGTGTCAGGAACAGTTCCTGGGGCCCGGGATGGACATTCAGCTTGTGTCCTGGGCAAAACCATGTACATTTTCGGGGGCTACGAGCAGCTGGTATGTCTGGGAGCAAACTAGAGCTTTAGGGTGAGAATAAGAAAAAGGGAAATTAAGGGTGGTGGAATGGGAGGCTTTGGCTTGTTTGCGGGTTTTGACGGGAGAGGCCAAGAGTCAGAGGGTCACCACGGATATCCTCTTTGATTCCTTTCTTCACTTCCTTTCTCTTCCCACTCAGGCGGACTGCTTTTCCAATGACATTCACAAGCTGGATACCAGTACCATGACATGGACCCTTATTTGTACAAAGGTCTGCCTTTTCTTCTTCCTCCCAGGTCCTTACTTTCAATTGAAGAAATCATAGGAAGCTCAGTGAGAGCAGATCCCCTCCTAGCCTCTGTGCTGACTCCCACTCTTTTATCTCTCTGCTCCTGTCCAGGGCAACCCTGCACGCTGGAGGGACTTTCACTCAGCTACAATGCTGGGCAGTCACATGTATGTCTTTGGGGGCCGTGCCGACCGCTTTGGGCCATTCCATTCCAACAATGAGATTTACTGCAACCGCATCCGTGTCTTTGACACCAGGACTGAGGCCTGGCTGGACTGTCCACCCACTCCAGTGCTGCCTGAGGGCCGCCGGAGCCACTCAGCCTGTGAGTGTCTGTCGGTCTCTGTGGGGGTCCCCTTTCCCACCTGTTGCCCTCACACTCTTCACGTTTCTCTTTCCTTCCAGTTGGTTATAATGGGGAGCTGTACATCTTTGGTGGCTATAATGCAAGGCTGAACCGGCATTTCCATGACCTCTGGAAGTTTAACCCTGGTACAGAGCGCTGCCTTTAAATTTTTTTTTTTTTTAATGTTTACTTATTTTTGAGAGAGAGAGAGAGAGAGTGTGAACTGGGGAGGGGCATAGAGAGAGGGAGACCCAGAATCCGAAGCAGGCTCCAGGCTCTGAGCTGTCAGCACAGACCCCGACGTGGGGCTAGAACTCACAAACCAAGAGATCATGACCTGAGCTGAAGTCACATGCTTAACCGACTGAGCCACCCAGGCGCCCCCAGAGCACTGCCTTTAAGGGGAGGGAGAACAAGGAGCAATTGGGGGAGGGGAAAAAATAATCCTAAGTAGGTGAGGGTGAGCATGGGGGTAGGGAGGATGTCTGGACTGGGCAGGTATTAAACCTCCATATAAACTTCTCTTCAGTGTCCTTTACCTGGAAAAAGATTGAACCGAAGGGGAAGGGGCCATGTCCCCGCCGGCGCCAGTGCTGCTGTATTGTTGGTGACAAGATTGTTCTCTTTGGGGGTACCAGGTTAGGAGGAAAGTGGGAGGGCTTGGGGAAGGGCCCAATCTGACTGCATGGGAGGCATTTGAGGAGGAGGGTCTCATGGGTAATCTTTCCTCCTTCCTTAATCTCTTTTTTGATCCCTATAGTCCATCTCCTGAGGAAGGCCTGGGAGATGAATTTGACCTCATAGATCATTCTGATTTACACATTTTGGACTTTAGTAAGTACACATATTTCCAGATATGTGTCCCTGTCTTTGGGTGGTGACATTGAGGAGTGGACCCTTTCCTTGGTTCTGAGCGTATCCCTCTCTCTGACTTCTCCTTCAAAGGCCCTAGTCTGAAGACTCTGTGTAAACTGGCCGTGATTCAGTATAACCTGGACCAGTCGTGTTTGCCCCATGACATCAGGTACAGTGAGTGGTTGGAAAGGAGGGATTGGTTGAGAGTGTGTGATCAGATGAACTTGTTTCTCAGTATAGAGGGGACAGAAGTTTTTGTTCTGCTGGAGATGTAATGTACTTGAGAGTGAGAGCAAAGGAGATACAGGATTATCAGCGGGGTAAATCATATGAAGAAAAAAAAAATCCGGTGTTTCGAACCAAGCTCAGAAGCATCACTTCCTAAGACCCGAGCCTGTATGGTTGTTTTTATTTTTTTTTAATTTTTTTTTTCAACGTTTATTTATTTTTGGGACAGAGAGAGACAGAGCATGAACGGGGGAGGGGCAGAGAGAGAGGGAGACACAGAATCGGAAACAGGCCCCAGGCTCTGAGCCATCAGCCCAGAGCCCGACGCGGGGCTCGAACTCACGGACTGCGAGATCGTGACCTGGCTGAAGTCGGACGCTTAACCGACTGCGCCACCCAGGCGCCCCTGTATGGTTGTTTTTAACATGCTGAGAAAGTTCAATTAAATCTTTGAAGTTAGCTGCAAAGTAAAGACAAGTATAGGAATCTTTGGATCACATTAGTTCCAGAGTTAAGGGAGGTCCTTCCTAGCTACTTCCCTTTGAATTCCATTCTTAGGTCCAAATCAAGCACCAAAAGTTATTTGGTATATACTTGTGTCCTTCAGGGTCATTATGGACACTTCCCTCTCCTGTATCAGTTCAGTTTAACTCTTACTTGCCTGGGGGAGGGGGGTGGTGGTGTTCAGTATTTGGTGACACGAAGTATACAAGGCTGAACTGATGGCTCATGGGCTTGCTCAGGATTGACACATGTGCAAGTATTTCATACCAAGTAGACTGTAGTGAGGGTCTTGGCATAAAGGGGGTACTTGGCAAATCTTTGTAGGATGACAGAATTGTCAAAAAGAAAGGGAGAAAAAAGGGATTTAATTTTAATGTGGTGGGAGGGCTGGGGAAGTCTGTACAAGCCTAGGAGAGGGGAGTCAGGGCCTTTAAAGGGTTGGGAGTTGAGAGTAAAAACAGGCATTCCTGGTTGGATCTGAGCAGAGGGGGAAAGGTAGGGTGGGAACTTTACTGAGGTGTGTATACAGATGGTTTTTTCCAGGAGTTGGGCATAAGCACACATATATAAACATAGATAGGAAGTCTACATGAGCTGGCAGGTGGATGAGTGGGTGATACCAGAGTTGGTGGTGGGTGGGGCCATGATTGTTAACAATCATGTCAAACAGTAAGGCTATAAGAAAGAGGTGGCTGTGGGTGGTTGAGCTTTAGGATGTTGAAGGGACTGGTGTGTTCATAGCTTTGTTTGAGCAATTCTGGGCTTGAGGGTGGAGGCTCCACTCTTCTGCCCTTTCTGCCTGTCATTGTTGGCCTTCCAGGTGGGAGCTGAATGCCATGACCACCAACAGCAATATCAGTCGCCCCATCGTCTCCTCCCATGGGTAGGAGAAAGTTGCTGCCGCCTCCCTTCCTGAGCCTGCTATTATCTTCACTGCCCATCCCCATCCCTCACCTGCCTGCCCCTTTGGTCCCTGGACTCGGTATACCTCTGCGTGGAGTTGTTGGACTAGAGGTGTTTCCTGTGCTGTGAACTCAGTGGGGAGCTGTAGGGGGGAGGGCTAGTTCCCTACCCCCTTGGGCCGAGGGCCCCTTCCCCTTGGTGCTCTGTCCCATACACCTCCTTCCAACTGCTCCTGGGCCTCTGCTCTGCCCCAGGCCAGCCAGGCTCTGTTGGGAAGTGAAGGGAATGGGGATTAGGGAGAAGCAAGCAGTGCCTGAGCCTCAGGAGCTTCCCCCACCCTTGTTTCCACCCCCTCCCCCTGCTTGAGTCAAGAGCATTGATTGGGAGCTGAGAGGAGTTGCAACTGTTGCCATGAAACCCTCATTCTCCCTGACCTGGGGAGGCGAGGACCAGCAGATAATCCCACCCTTCCCTGAGCTGTTGCTGTTCCCTGACGCTCCCAGCCAGCTCAGATTTTATAAAAATGGATTAAAAATCTCCAAACGTGTGATCTGTTTTTGTGGAATACGATGGGGGTGGATGGCAGAAGCTTGCGAAAGGACAGGGTGCTTCTCTGCCAGGTTCTGGCTTCTCTGCCAAGAGCAAAAGGAAACCAAATACCACCAAGGCCTGGCCCTGGCTTTTCTAGAACGCGGGGTCCAGCGCCATGTGACCAAAAGGTGGCGACGGCATACCGAGTGCGTGCATCCCGCCGGAGTATTCTGGCCACCACCGGCTTGCGCAGACGCGTCTCCCGGAGAAGCCGGAAGAGGCGGGGCGGGAGGCACAAGGGCGGAAGTGGCGCCATTCGCTCCCGGCGTGTCCCACAAGCCAATGCCGAGAGAGCGTTCTCGTATCGCGGTGGCCCTCGGGTCTCCCCGCAGGGCGAGTAGAGGCGAGGAGGATGGCGAGGGCGTGGGGCCCGGGGTCCTGCGGAAGGGTGAGGGCCTCGTGCCGGGCCGAGGGGCAGCGCGGGGCGGGGGGAAGGGTAGGTGGCGGCGCAGTGACCGTGAAACTGCCTAGTTCTCTGTAAGAGGCCACCGCGGGGAGCGCCGCCGACGAAATGGGACAGTGGGGTGTGAGGAGGCGCTTCCTGGGTTAGGACAGCCTGGGCAGTTTCTGAAAGGGAGGATGAGAGTTTTGCGCAGAGAGAAAACGCGTGTGTAAAAGTACAGTCTGGGGAGGCATTGGTTGCTGGGGGTTAGTAGGTCAGGATTGAACACATTTCGCAAATCTTTGTTGAGCATCTATCCTGTGCGGGCTGTTCTAGATGCCATTCTAGATGCTGTAGATACAGTAGTGAATAGAAGCCGTCAAAAACTCCTGTTCTGGGGTGACTGGCTGGCTCAGTCAGTAGAGCATGTGACTCTTGATCTGGGAGGTGTGGGTTCAAGCTCACATTGGGTGTATAGATAAGTTAAACATAAAATCTTAAAAATCGTGTTCTCATGGAACTTATCTTTCAGAAAGTATGACTAAAAAAAAGTAAATTAATACAGTAAAAGGTAAAGCAGAGGAATGTGTATTTTTAAGGGTGAATTTTGATATGTGAATTATACTTCAGTTTTTCAAAAAGATTATAATGGCTATGGAGAGAAAACAAGGGAGGGGTTGCAATTTTAGGTAGTTACAGTCACTGAGTAGGTGACATTTGAGCAACCGTTTGAAGGAGGTGAGGAAACAGTAAATACATCTGGATAAAGATTCCAAGCAGAGGCAACATCTAATGCAAAGGAACTGAGGCAGGATCATAGATCTTCTTGCTCAGTAAGTGCTAGACTAGTTGAGAGGAGTGGGAAAGAGATTATAGGACTCAAGATTAGAGACCAGGGGTGAGGTCACATGGGGGGTTTCAAACCACTATAAGGCCTGTAGCTTTTACTCTGATCAAGATGAAGCTATTAGGGAGTCTTGAGTTCTGAAGTGATGTGATCTGAAGCATGTGTGTATGGAAAAGGGGTAGGAATGAGATCAGCTTTGCATTTTAGATGCCCCTGTCCAGCCTGTCCAGCATAACTTTGGGAGGAGATGGAGGTTGGAAGACCAGTTAGGAGGCTAGAGCACTGGCTGAGGTGAGAGGTGCTGAGAGCACTGGCAGTGGTAACTGAGCAAGGAAGACATGCCCTGTGGGGAAGACCATGAAGGCAGGATTCAAAAGAAAATGAAAAAGAATGGACCGTGGCTTGGCCTACCCCCAACCGTACATTTGTATACCTTCCTTAGCAGGTAGTGGGAATGGTTGGGAAGTTAGGTGTCAGTGTAGCACTCTTGCAACCTGCGCTGCCTAAAGCCTGTTGTGATTGGCCTGATGGGGATATTGGAAAGGGTCAGTTACTTAAGGAATGAGGGTGGGATGATGTCTCTGCTGGGAGATGCTGTGCTGAGTTGTGTCCCCACCCCTCCTTCCACAGACACATCTGACATGTCATTTGAAGAGCTGTTGGAATTGCAGAACAAAGTGGGGACTAAGACATACAAACAGTTGGTAGCTGGAAACAATACTAAGAAGCCAAGTTCTAGACCACCTGTCCAAAATGCATGTGTTGCAGATAAGCACAGGTGAGGAGCAAGGCCTGCCCCAGGAATTTGAGAATACCTGGGACTTTGAGTGGGTGTCTGCATTCCTAGATGGGAGGCCTTTGATCAAGACTGGAGAGCCAGGGAGGGTGCCTGGGTGGCCCTTTCAGTTAAGGGGCCGACTTTGGCTCAGGTCATGACCTTGCAGTTTGTGAGTTCAAGCCCCACGTCAGGCTCTGTGCTGACAGGTTGGAACCTGGAGCCTGCTTCAGATTCTGTGTCTCCCTCTCTCTCTGCCCTACTCCCACTGGCACTCTGTCTCTCTCAAAAATAAACGTTAAAAACCAAACAACAACAAAAAACAACACTGGAGAGCCAGGGCATCTGGCTGGCTCAGCCAGTGGAGTGTGCACCTCTTTTTTTTTTTTTTTTTTTTTTTTTTTTTTTTTTTTTTTTTTAATGTTTTTATTTTTGAGAGAGAGAGACTGAGCACTCACAATTGGGGGAAGGGCAGAGAGAGAAAGAGAGGGACGGAGGATCCCAGGCAGGCTCCAGGCTGACAGCGGAGAGCCCATGTGGGGCTGAGACTCATGAACCGTGAGATCATGACCTGAGCTGAAGTCAGACATTCAACTGACTAAGCCACCCAGGTGCCCCTCTTGATCTTGGGGTTGTGAGTTTCAGCCCCACGTTGGGTATAAAGATTACTTAAAAATAAAATCTTTAAAAAAAACAAAAAAGGACTGGAGACCCTGGACATGTCTTTTAATTTCTCTGTAGGCCTCTGGAAATGTCAGCCAAGGTTCGGGTGCCATTTTTGCGTCAAGTTGTTCCAATCAGTAAGAAGGTGAGGAGGAAGCAGGAAGGGCTGTCTTAGTGAGGGGAGATTGAACAGTTCATTTATAGTCTCTCTGTTCTTTCCAAAGGTAGCCCGGGACCCCCGCTTTGACGATCTGTCAGGGGAATATAATCCTGAGGTGTTTGACAAAACGTATCAATTCCTGAATGACATCCGAGCCAAAGAGAAAGAGGTTTGGAACATTAGACCAGCTCATGGGGATTCCAGGGGTGGGAAACTCGGGTACAGGTTATTGAGTTGGGCAGAGGGGAACAGGGAACATAGTGGTGGGCAGATTTATTTCTCCTTAATTGATTTAACTCTTCCCAAATGTGCTTCTATTCAAAT